CAGAATTGGCTCCAAGCTTATTGACACTATGTTAGAAATGTTGTCAGTGTGGCTGCATTTTGTTCAAACTTAACGTCAGAAAGTCAAGTGTAAACTTTGCAAATAGCAGTTCACAAAACAACATGGCTTATCATCAAAAAGCAGTAGGTAAGTTCGAGGTAGAAGTTCTTGGTGACTATAGCCCGAGTACACAGAGATAACAGCAATTGTTTGCTTTGTTATTTAAACAGAGTAAACATCTATTTCACATTATGTCAGTCGACGTTTGGTCAGTCAAAAGCTATTACTCTACAACATTGTTATTTAGTTTAATAGTAAATAAATATTGTGATTTAATTATTCAAACTGCACATTAAGACAGTAATGAAACAGCAACATTCACCCTGTACTGTCACAGAACAAATGATGGTACTGTATGCTGTGGGATCTGACAAAATCACACACTGCTGTTCTAATTAAACACCTGGAATAACTACATCCATTGTTCCATTTCTCATTGAACCTTTTATACCTCAACAGCAGTACAGTGAAGTTAACGCACATTATATGAATGAAGTGTGGTATAACGTGCTTGCGCAAGTTTCCAGATTACATTTTTAAATTCTCAGTAAATGTTTTGAACACGGTTTATCAGTAGGTCTGAAAGTGTTTTTTTTTCCTCCACAGCAAAGGCCAGTACATCGTCAGCGGCTCAGACGACGGCTCTTTCTTCATCTGGGAAAAGGAGACGACTAATCTGGTGAGGATCCTGCAGGGAGATGAGTCCATAGTCAACTGCCTGCAGCCCCACCCCAGCTACTGCTTCCTGGCTACTAGTGGTATCGACCCTGTGGTTCGGTTATGGAACCCCAGACCAGAGGTAAGAAAGCTGAGGGGATATTTTATGCATGGTTTAGTGTAAAATTATGATGGGAGTCATGTTTGATCGATTGTGTTTTGTCGCGCTGCAGTCTGACAACGAGAACGGCCGCGTGGTGGAGGACATGGAGGGAGCTGCTCAGGCAAATCAGCGGCGGATGAATGCCGACCCACTGGAAGTAATGCTGCTTAACATGGGCTATCGCATCACAGGCCTGCGTGGCGTCGGCCCGGATGGTTCAGACGATGAAGACAGCTCAGAGGGACAGGTGCAGTGCAGGCCAAGCTAAACAAACAGCCATCCATTCTGTAGAATGGATTTAGGAAGCAAAGCGCTCTCCCAGCTCCTGTTTGAATCCTAATTCCCCCCCTCCCTGTCTGACAGAACATTGAGTGAATGTCATGTCACATCTCTGCACTATGCATCGCCCTCCCCTGTCCTGCGTGAGGACCGGTGGAGACCACTTCGGGGAGAGGAATTCATGGAGGGTAGAGACGACTCCCTTCTCGCCCCTTCAAAGCACCAACAACACCTCAGCCTGTCCCTCCACCCTGTGGCGGCAGGGGGACACCTTTGAGGAGAGCACCTTCCACGTCACTCCCCCAGTTTCTCACGAAGAAGGAGGAGCTCAGCACTTATCCCTCCTCAGGTTTATGTTGGAGAGAGACGCACATGACGGAGAAGGAGAAGGCTGCAGTCGGGCGACCTATTTTCAGGTCGGCGCGGCCACACGGTCGCGGTGTTCTCCGCCGAGGATCAGATCACAGACCAGAAAACGGTGCTTTGTTGCATCTCCCGTCTGCTCTACAGATGGAGCAAAGTGTCACAGCGTCATCTCGGAAAGGCTGCACACCCGAGTCATTGATTTTAGGTTCGACTCGATCCTGTTTTGAGTTTTGGTCGCAGGAAGCCTAGATTTAATTGTCACTTTTCAAGTCGTCGACAGTGTTGCTCCGGTGAAATGTATTTATAAGCTTTGTGTAGTTTACAACAGTCAGGAAAAGACGAGGGGTTTCTTCTGCCAAAGGTTGCCATCTACCATTTCAACAGCCAAGGATTTAATGTTTGAGTTGTTTGTTTCATTGAAACACAATTACGGCTCCTTTAAGTTCAGGATTTAATATAATAGATTAATGAATTCAACAAGAGATCAACAAAGAAATGTTTGTCAGAAAACAAAACTTTCTAATACTGTTTTGTTCTGTTTTTGTCCCGTCGATTGCACAAGTCATTTGAGAAGTCTGTGTCAAAATGTTTGTTGGGTGTAAGTGGGACACAGATGCTAATTTGTGGTACATGACAAGCATTGGGTGGCTGATAGGGTTCCTGCCTACTAGCTGCGTGGCTCTAGCATTAGTCCTCTGCTGCAGTCAGGTGTTCAGTCCTGCTTGCATGAGGCTTCTCTGACCATAGTTGTGGGCGAAAAAAAAAAAACAACACAGCCACATCCCATCCGCTGCTCAGAGAACAGCTCTTTGGGTCTTCTAAATGTTAACGAAAGGTTCCTCATGCGTCACTAGGCTTCCATGCGTTTTACTTTATTCATGAATTTGTTTTTCTTCGAGGAATCCTGTAATAACATTTGTTGCAAACAAAACAAAGAATAAAATCATTGAACACCCTCTCGTCCGTATAGTCAATTTGTGTTTGTGTTTTTTTTAGCGTGACAGTTGCACAACAGCTGTACTGACTCAATACTATCTAGGTTAGGAAGATCTACTGCAGGTGAGGCTACGGTGTGAACGCTCGGCTCATTCATCAGTGTCTGCGCGACTCTCTGCTTTTGCTGACTGTCGGACTACAAATGTAGGGACACTACATCACAAGCATGAGTAGTTAGGGGAGAATCTCATGCTCCACATACTGTACGGTAATGAGGTGACCCAGCTCGAGGAGCAATGGAGGTTACATTACATCGACGGTGACTGTGGCTGCCAAATAGACCTGGAAAGTAAAGGCTAGAAAAACACACAGATGTTTGATGAATGTGTTGATTTAAACAACACGGCATGACATCATGAAGTTGTCATTTTTACAGTAAATGAAACAATAATTGCAAAATTTGCCACAATAGTCACACAACAGATAATAATAATGGTTTAGAATTAGTACAAATGACAAAAAAAACGCTCAATTTTGTTGTTTTAGGTAACTTTGGTGAGAGGTGTCATGCCAAAAATGATCACCTGTCATTACCTGATAAATACAGCTGCTTTTGTCTGCATCAGTCATAAAGACGTTAATTCTTTTGTAATTATCTTTACGTCTCTGGACTGTTTTACCTGCTCTGTGCCCTTGACTATAGCCAGGCCAGTTGCTTATTGGTTAACATCACTTTAAAGGACCAATTCAACTTATATACTGCTGTTTCCTTGCACAAAAAAATATGATTACAGTCCCTACATTCTGAATGAAATGTTATTAATACTTCAAAATGACTTGATTTCACACATGAAGGTTGTATTTAATAGAATATAGCTCATAGGATAACTGCGAAACAGATCATTTTTTAATTTTACATATATAAACCCCATCTGTAAAAAGTGTTAACTATAGTTTCCAAATATAAACACATATATTAGACATGCTAAAAACATTTAGCCTAAACGCTGGAATAATAATGCTATGCTATAATTATCACCATGTCATGCCTGATTATGTGATAAACTGCCAACATTTTTTTGGTCAGAACTATCTAGTTATAAGAAACCTTCAAGCTTCACAAAGGCATACCTTTGTTATCAGCACAGAGGGAACGTTAACGGTGTTTGCACATGATGACTGTTTAACCAAATAAAAGCAGCTGCAGAGTTAAGTTCAAAATGATTCATACTCAAACCACATTTGGATTTTTTATTTAGTAGACACATTTTTTCTGGTTGGACAAGTCATAATAAATAATAAGCAAATAGCAAAACACAGTTGAGTTAAAGGTGTTAATGATGACTTCCCATATTTTGTTTGTTTTTACATTTTTACAAAAAGTGCCATGCACATAGTTATTTCTGAGTAATCAGTGTTTGACCGTCGGGATGGTGTTCATGAGGTCGAATGCTTCTCCTTTCTTTAACCAAACGAAAGTCCAAACAGCTCAATTCTTTTCTCATCCGGTCACAGAACTGATGACAAAAAGCTTTCTTCTTTGTCCAGGTGCGCTTTTTCTCTGTCTGTCATGTAGAAGTACAGTCTTCCTTGGATTGGTATCCTCAGAGATCAGCCTTATTCAGTTTCTGATCAAGATGTCGGTTCCAGAATTGCTCAGATTCATCAGGATGGTCTTGGTACTGATTCTTGGATACTTCTTGACCTCTCCCACTTCCATTCTTGCCAGCGCAGGGGTCACTCTTGCCTTCCTATCAGGCTCTTTCAGATTTTTCACAGCGTAGAAGTCCTTGTGCTGTTTGATTCTGCGTTGCACTGTAACCACTGGCACTTGAAAACACTTGAATATACTTTACAGCTTTTCCCCGTCTTGTGAACCGCAATGTAAAACCCGAGGTCCTCACTAAGCTCTCTGGTTTTGTCCATGAGTTGCAGCTATTTAATAACAGATTAGATTAGTGTATTAGAACGTGCAATAACATGGTAACCAGAACCATTTGGATTGGTAGAGAGTCGATTTTTACGTATAGCAATTTCAACTATACAAACTATTTAGACGTCATTTTTTATTTCTAAAAATGTAGAAATACTTCAATTTAACATCTCTAACACGGTGTATCATCCTCTTTTGCCACTTGTTTGTGTCATTTTCAGCCAGAAAAAAACTATTGGTCAAGTTAAAAAAAAAATCACTATAAATCGAAATTTGCCATGGATATGAATAATAAGTCAAAATGTATTATTAACATCTCTAACACAGTGTCTTATTATCTTCTATCACTTGTTTATGTCATTCCTAACCAGAATAAACCCAAAAAACAGTCACTATAAATCAAATAATAATGTTGGGATTAACTGTGTATAAACTATATCAGATGAGTTTTTTTGGCCCGACATGGCCCGACATGTATGAGAAATCCCAGCCACCGACTGTCCTCAAACACCGCAGTCGACACACTAACGAGAGGCGTGTTGCGTTCACGGACCGACCGTTGGCTCCGTCGACTCCCGTGCTCCCCCCTCCTTCGCGCCGCCTGGCCTGGCTGTGCGTCACTGTCATCTCAGTCCGGGTTGTGATGGCGGAGGCGGACGACACCGACGTAATGATGAGCTACCACAGTGAATTCCTGAAAAGCGACCGAAAAAGCAGCCGCTACCCTTACTGCATCGTCTGGACGCCGATTCCCATTTTATCGTAAGAAGCTAACACGATATTCCTGCTAATGCTAATGCTAACTTAGCGCGAACTGTGGCAGCTTAGGGCTCGGCTCGGGCTGCGGCTGGTTATTTGACAAACGTGAGATAAATAAAGCAGCTCTATCTTACCCGGGCTTGTTATATATTCAATTTTAATACATTAATTGTTCTGTATAATTTACATCCTGTTACACAATCAAACGTGCGTAAACTGGCTCATGTGCATGTGTTTCCGTGCGTCCTGCAGGTGGGTGCTCCCCTTCATTGGACACATGGGGATTTGCACTTCTGCTGGCATCATACGGGATTTTGCCGGATCTTACTTTGTCTCGGTGAGCAATGCACCCAAATCCCCCAAATCACCCACCTCATGCACCTAAATTATTCATACCCGATGCAAAAATACGATTTCTAGTGAGTGTTTATTTGACTAATAGGCTTCATCTGGCTGCAAATGACACAAACAAGTGACAAAAAATAGAAAGACGTTGTGTTAGAGATGTTGATGAGTCCATTTTAAAAATATTTTAATGGGGTTTTTTCAGTCATTTTGCAAAAAAAACAAAACAAAAACATGTCCATAATTATTCATACCCTAGACATTGTGGCAAATCTTGAAGAAAAAGCAGATTCTATATTATTCCAATTACTTGTTATTTCTAACATGTTCCAGAGCCTTCTAATGCACTATAAGCTGAGAACAGCTGATGCAGTGGTTCTCTTAGCAGTCAGTAGTCAATTGCAAGTCATGGTTCAAACCAAGGAGCTCAGTGAGATTGCTGTTAGGGTCCATCACCGAGAGAGAGAAATGTGCCTGAGGACGGGCTGTAAAGTGGTTTCATGTGCCAGCGGCCTCAGTGCAAAGCAGAATCAGAAAGCACAAGGAGTTTCACTGTGAGAAAATGCTCAGAAGTCATAGTAGGAAGCCAAAAATGACCCCTGTGCTGCTAAGAATGGTAGTGAGAGAGGCCAGAAGGAATTCACCACCAAGACCGTCCTGGAGGATCTGAGCTGTTGTGGTAGCGACGTCTCAATCTGATGCTCCAGCAGACACTGAACAAGGCTGGTCTTCATGGATGCAGACCAAGGAGGACTCCACTTCTACAAGACAGACAAACAAAAACTCACCCGGACGAAGATAAAAGGTTTTGATCATCATATCTGTGGTCGGATGAGACTGAAATGAAGTTTTGTGGACACAGAGACGTGGCTTTGGTTTTGCAAAAGAAGGGAGAAGCATTCATGTCTTGGGGTGTTCTTCGATCAGCGGGTTAGCCAATGTTGTCAAAGTAAACTGCATCATGAAAGAAGACGACTATGACGACTCTGGAAGAAACTCACAAAAATCTAAATTCAGTGTGGCTATGAATAATTTTTCCACAGTTCATCGCTGTGTGGCTGCACAGCGGAGTCCAGTAGTTAAGACTGAAATTAAAATGCAAATCTTTAATGTCGTGCTGCTTGCAGAGTAAAGCTGTTTAATCAGCTGTACTTTTTTTTTTTTTAAAAATTGGATAAACACACTCAGCTTCACAGTCATTTAAACCATAAGGTCACAATGTATGATTCATGTTTTTAAAATGGGACTTTTTCTTTCCAGGAGGACAATATGGGCTTCGGTAGACCAACAAAGTAAGTTTATTCTTCAGAATGTTAATAGTTTAATAGTATTTCACTAAGTAGGTCAGACACAATGAACACTGTTATTGATTGTTGCCTAATATTGCAGGTATTGGAAGCTGGATGTGGATAAAGTCTGTGGTAACGGTGCAGCTACGTGGGACAAAGCAGTGCACGATGCATCTGAGGAATACAAATGCAGGCCGGTAAGACAGCATTTATTTGTTCTTTTAAACCATTACACATTTCTGCGTCATTGCTAATTTAAAAACTGTTATTTTCCTTTTTTGTTGAAGCACAACCTGTGCTTTGATAACTGCCATTCCCACGTCGCCATGGCGCTCAACCTTATGCGCTACGACAACAGCTCATCTTGGAACATGGTGAACCTGTGTGCGCTGTCCCTCATTCACGGGAAACATGTGAGGTAAATGTTTTAGTCTCCTTTTTGTTTTTTTTTTAGCTTCGTAAGTACAACATATGCAGTGTTGCTTGAAAGTTTGCGGACAATTTGTGATATTTCTGCAAGAATATGACCTAAAACATCACCAGATGATTAAAAGTAGATCAAGAGAACCCAAATAAACACGTGAAACACTTCTTTTTTTTTGAGGTTACGGATGCAATCTTACTTTTCTTTTAAATGTGTGAACTTGAAGGAGCAGCGGCTAATTTGAAGGTAGAAAAAAAGAGAAAAGAAAAACACTGCAATCCAGCGTAAGAGCCTTACTCCATCTATGAAGCATGGTGGTGGCAGCATCATTCGAAAAAATCAAAAGGCCTTTCAAACACTACTGTATATGACTCTAAAGTCCATCATGCTTTTCAGTGACCATTCTCTCTATGGTCCTCCAGCTCCCAATTTTCGTTTTTGTTTTTTGCCACAGAGACTCTCTCTGTTTTTATGGAAAAGCTCAAACTGGCTTACTTTCACTGAGGGAAAATCATGATTAATGTCCTCGTGTTTGCAGCTACAGCTTTACATTATGCGGTAGATCCTTTAGATTAAATCAAGGACATTTAAGGACAGAAGCAGCTGGGATTGAATGACCTCCCCAACCCCCTCTGTTTGTTCTACCGCTCGGCCTATAGCGGCCAAATTCTGGCACATCTTCATTGTGCTCTTGATTGTAAATGACAAACTTTATTACAATATTTTGATTGTTTCTGTGTTGGTTTGTGCCAATCAAATGGATTTAGGGAGCCAAGTAAAGCTGTTTTCATGCCTCGCATTCCCTTCAGTTGAACTGATGCATAAAATATTTTATTCATAAAAACATGGTACAAAAAATTTATTTCAGCATTTGACAGGATTTATTCAGTTTTTATTTTTTTAATCAATGTAGTAATAAAAAAGAGATGAAACAATAATGTTAGAACCAGACTTTATCCAGTGTTCATTTTATTAAGATAATTTGGATATTTAAATATAATATTTTAGAAACTACGTCATATTAAAAAAAATATTATCCTAATGTAAGTAATCAACTGGGGAAGTTTCAAGGTGATATGTAGTCGTTAAAGCCTCTATCATCAGCGGTATTTTTGCCCTAAAGCACATTTTAAAGGGCGTCACCTCCAGCAGACGATTATGTATCTCGCTTCCAAAAGTTCATATTAAATAAAATCAGTTGGACGTGTTTTAAGTCTTATTTAGCAGTGCAGTTTTTTAATAAGTCACACATGAGAGGGTTAAATCACCCAAATTTGTGTGGGTTAAACCATCTGCACAACATGTGACACCCAGTTCATCCTGAGACCTCTTAGGAAATGTGACACAGACGGAATTCCTTTTCCAAAATAGACATGCATGCAATAGGGATCTGATTTGCTGTGGAAGCAGTACTTTCTGATAGTACGAGGCCAAACACGCATGAAGCACTTTAACCACAAACACAGTCTGCTGCTGAAACGCTCGTCGCTTCAAGAGACATATGGCTCAGAGAACCCCCTTCATTATTCTCCGCTGACCCACATAGCGAACGCTTGCGTCACAGTTTGTGCTGCCTCTCTGCAAGTCTTTTAAGCGGAAGGGGAGTCGTGTAATTCATCACTGACAGCGGCGCTCCCCTCTGTGTCACCGCTGGAGGTCACCTCTCCGCTGGGGCTCCCTGCATCAGCTGGGCGGGTGAGGACGGTAGGACGCGGGCCGGGGTGGAGCCGCTGCCAGAGGGGAAGAGCTGTGGGGCCTCTGGGAGCAAAGACGCCGCGCCGTGCGATACCTCACCTCATACGTCCTTGTCTGTCCAGAATACACAGAGAACGGGTGTTTAATTCACCCTCCCTGCCGCGCAGTCACCAGGTGTTGACGATTCCTCTAACGCACATTACCCTCTTTCTATCCTTCAGCTGGGCCGCATTCCTCAAGACCTGGCTGCCCTTCCTCATGCTGTGCGGAGTCCTCGCCACGTTCATCCTCACGTTCAACCTACAGTAGTGCAATTAGATGACTCACAGACTTCAGTTCCACTTTCTACATTGAATGATGTGTTTCGACGGGATTCGTGTTAGTGCAGAAAATGAAGGGCCGCATTGTCTGTTGTGATCTCTAGGAATCTAGAGCTGGAGGACGTTTAAGGACGAGCTGTCTGTGGTTAGCTGTGAATTAAGTGATTATTTATGTTTCAACAGTGGATTTTGTTTCCTTTTACTGAGTGTTATTTTAGCAAATCCCCTCCTCAAAATGCACCATTACTGTTTTTCACACGGTGGGTTCAGTGTTTCATGAAGGGAAGATGATCTCCTCCAGATTAGAGCGCCGCATCCGGGATGTATTTTTCATGAATGGCCGTGATGAATGTGTTTCCAGACTGGCTAATGTACATTTCAGTGATAAATCGCCGCCAAATGGATCAGGAAATCTTAATGCCGAAAGTATTCATCAATTATTTGTCGAAGAGATATGAGCCGCTACCAAAGATAGAATGATGAAAGAGCCCACGTGTGAAAAATTGTGGCATTGTCCTCCTTTGAATATCACTTCCCTCTCGTGTGTAAAGACAGATGTGTTAAGTTTTATTATCATTATTTGCTCCAGACAGTAACTGAATGCTTTCTAACTGCATCCTCATGCTGGAAAGTTAATATCAACCTGCTGGATTACACAAATTACGAGCAATACTATGTTGTATTTTTATGCATTATGTATTTATTGATTTCATTTTGACGCTATGTACCTAAATAAGCATTATTTATTATTGTATATCTTCTTTTTTTTTGTACCTTTTATTTTTTATTTGCTGTATGCACAACCTTTTCCAGTCTCCCCTGGCAGACTGCTGTGTAGGTCACAGGCTGTGGATGCCCTAATCGTCCTCTGTACCTTTAAGGGAACCACGCACCTCTTTCATCCAGCAGATTCTGCGTGATACGAACTACCATCAATTTACGGGAACCTTTATTCCCACAGTAGAGCAGCAGATGAGGAGGGACGGACGCCGGAGCTGCAGTGTTTCATTAGTTTGTGAGAACGAAAGGTTCCGTTTATCAATGCACATGGAGTCGCCTTTTTTGTCCGCTGTAATTCTTATGTGTTGAGATTTTTTTTTGTTCTATTTTGTTTTGTTTTTTTTTTAAATTTGCTATGATTTAGAGATGTGTATTTTTCCAGTCCTTGCGTTTTTGGGAATTTTTCTTTGCGCGCCGCACCAGTGCTCGGAGTGTCCTTCTGGCTGTGAGTGTTTCGCTGTCACCCGCACAGTGAAATGTGTTTCTAAGGCTCTGCTCTCGGTGCCACAAAACATCCCGGGATATGCCAGGACTGTCATCATCACAGGGAATAACATACACCAGATTGGACCCGGTTCGTTTACAGAGCTGGAGAATGTCACTAACATCATTTTGAGCAATAACAGGTGAGAATGTGTGCTCTGTTTCACTCATGTGTATGAAGCCATATTTGGATAATTACGACTAACTTTCTTGATGTGTACATAATAAATGAATAATGCTGATTTCTGGGTATGTGGTTTTTATTTGCTCGGTTCGACGGCTGCGTTACTAGTTTCCAAGCATGAGAATGATGTGAAATGTTCAAGAGCGTATGTTTAAAGTGTGAGTCGTCTCTTCAGGATCACAGAGATGGCTTCCCACACCTTCTCCGCACTGGTCAACCTCCGCTTCCTCGACCTCAGTGGCAACCAGCTGGCGCTCATCCATCCGGAGGCTCTTCACATCCCCGGCAGCCCCCTCCAGGAGCTCAACCTGAGCCGCTCGCTGCACAACTTCACCGCCTTGACGGACCTGACCACAGCTCTGCGCTGGGGCGGCCTTGGGGGGCTCCTGCGCCTCGACCTATCCGGGAACCACCTCGCCCTGCTGCCCCCTGGGATGTTCTCCCACCTCCCCAACCTGCAGCAGCTCTTCCTCGCCAACAACTCTCTGGTGGCCGTCTACAGCGGGACCTTCTCCGGCATGAACCACCTGGAGGTGCTGGACCTGACGCGCAATGCCTTCGGGACGTTCAGGGCCGACGCTCTGCAGGAGCTGGAGAAGCTCGGCAACATCAGGATCCTTCTCGGGAACAACCCATACGCCTGCACTTGCGAGATCCACGATCTCGTCACGTGGCTGAACAAAACAAGAGCTCAGGTGGACGTAGATGCTGTGAGATGCTCCTCACCGAGTCGGTTAAGCGACACCCAGCTGCGTGGGCTCAGCGTCCAGGCCATCGGGTGTGTGGTTCCGGTCCTCACGGAGGTCACTGACCTCACCCTGCAGACCTCCTACGTCTTCCTGGGGCTGGTGCTCGGCTTCGTGGGCATGGTCTTCCTCTTTGTGCTCTACCTGAACCGCAAGGGCATGAAGAAGTGGATCAATGACATGAGAGACGCGTGCCGGGACGTTCTGGAGGGGTACCACTACCGGTACGAGATCGACTCGGACCCTCGGCTCGGCCACGTCGCAGCCGACAGCACCAGGGCTCAGAGGCATTTAGCGCTGGCGCTGTCACAGCAGCTGCCAAGTGACACCTGCATTGTTCAGGTTCCCACAGACACACAGGTCAAACAGGTGACCACCTCCCCGCCTGTAAACTTCTGATCTTTCAGTAGAATGTGAATGTGAATAGTTTACTAGAAGAGATTTACACTTTCTTCTGTTTTTAGCTTCCTGTGCAGTTAGAGCCTTTAAATTGCACCTTTGAAAGTGCCTTTGTGTTCTTGAGGCACTGGAGCATTGTATCTGTAAACTAGCATTGTGTTTTTATCATGCATTTTTATAAGAACATAATTCATAGGCTGCACTGGAACTTTGCTTTTTGGTTCTTTGTATCACAACTTTGAATATTTTAACATTCTAGAGAAGATAAATAACATCGATAGCAACGTGAAAATATTACCTCGTCGTAAGAAACTGTTTTAGAATAGGCCTTTATAATATTATGTATGCTTCAGGAATATATAGAAAGAAAAAAAACTTTAAATTTACTAGTCATGTATCTTTACCAGATGTGATCTGTATGATTATATTCAAATGAGTAGATACTGAAAACAGACTGATATGAAACCTACATTATTTATAAGTAAATAAAACGACTGCTGTATTTAATTTGCCTGTGCTGTGTTATTTTATTATATAGGGTGTGACACACACTCATATCTTTGTCCAGGTGTGAGGCGGCTCTGCTCTTTCAGCGGGTGATTAAGTGTTTCCACAGAGATAAATAGGGCAGAATGAAAGATAATATTTGGAAATACACCTGCCGGCTGTGCAGCTGTGCTCCTCTGTGTTTCCATCTGGTCTACGGTGTATATTTGTGAGTTGAAAAGTGCATTTATCACGATGTAACCTGCAAAGTGTCACTGTTAGGTGTGTATTCAGACTCTTTAGTTGTAGTTTAGTGTAAAAATACCCCATTATGAGCAAAAGTCCTGCATGAGAAGTCTTACTGAAGTAAAAATATTTAAGTTTTACAAGCAAAATTCAAAAGTTTTACAATAAAAGTACTTTTTTTGGCCCCTGTCACTGACATATTATGATATTAGATGATTAATAGTGATGCATCAGTGTTTCAGCAGCATGTGAGTGTCGGAGCTGCTGCAGGTGGAGCCAGTTTGAAATACTTTGAACACAGTTTTACATCCAGAGACAGCAGAAACATTTTGATGGTTCATTAAATGATTAATAGGACAGGACAGACAAAAGCAAAACACTAGGCTCTGATCCACGAATCTGTTTTCAATTTTTGGACTTTTTTCTCGAGTTTCTAATTTTCGCTGAGATACTTCTATTGTATTAAACAATGTGAGAAGTTTAGTGGGGGAAGAAATGACGACTTACTGGAAGCTGGTTATAACTTTTAAAGATCTGAAATGTGTGTGTTTGGATAAATACTCAAGCGTAATGCATATTTTGTTCATCAAATGGTCAGAATCAAAAAATCAAAGACAGATTAAACAGATTTCAATGGCTGTCTGTGACATGAAGTAACAGAGCACTATCTTCACTCTACATGGTCTGATCACCCCTCCACAAGCCAAAAAGATTGGAAACTGCTGGTTTAATCTTTAACAATCCATCCATCTATCCATTATCTGTACACCGCTTAATCCTCACTAGGGTCATGGGGGCCTGGAGCCTATCCCAGCTGACTCAGGGTGAAGGCAGGGGACACCTGGACAGGTCACCAGTCTATCACAGACAACCAAGCACACTCACATTCACACCTACGGACAATTTAGAATCACCAATTAAGCTCAACATGTTTTTGGACCTTGTGGGAGGAAGCCGGAGAACCCAGAGAGAACCCACGCTGCACGGGGAGAACATGGAGACTCCACACAGAAAGATCCCGGTTGTCCTCACCGGGACACAAACCGGCGACAATGCTAACCACCGCTCCACCTTGCAGCCCATCTTTAACAATGTATTATTTTAAAATATTATTATATTATCCATTGTGTAAAATCTTCATCTTGGCTGTCAGATAACTCGTGGTGTAGAAAGCACAATATTACTACTGTATAAAGTAGCATAAAATGGAAATACTCAAGTAAAGTACTTCAAAATGATATTTAATCATCCTTCATTGTTTGGATTATGGTGACATTTTACATGTTATATATATATATGGTGTCTCAGCTGTGACTCCTAAGCTCATGGGCACTTCATCACTCTGCATTAACATTTATTACTGCAGATAATTAGAGCATTCATCACTGTACGCTGACGTTGGGAAGCCGTCCCTCTCTGTGAGGTGTCATATATGCTGGGTTTCATTTATTTAAAAGGCCCTGTTTGTTTGGTGTTGCACCCCCTTACATTGCTGCTGTCTTTTGATGTGAGCTCTTTCTATATGTGCTGCTATAACATACTAACAGGTGTCTTTTCTGAGTGTGGAAAATCCAGTTTTACTCAGTGTGCACCTGGAACCTGGAGTAACATGCAGAGCAATCTAAAGCCTGACTCATTTTTATCCTGAGGGGAGAACAGGTTTCTAATACTATCTCACTTCACTTCTAGATGTTGTTGTTTTATTTGATTCATTTGTTTTTTTTTTATTTTACACACCTTATTTGAAGTTTTTATTATTTTAATAACTTTGCCCAGTAATATTTTTGTTGGAACTGTTGCCTAAGTTTCTCATCTGTGTGCCTATTTCTTTTATTTTCTCTTACTCAGCTATATTGTAAATTAATCCTTCAATGAAATACATGTTTAGATAAAGGTTGAAATAATTAATTAATGTTAACTAGTTGAACCTCTTTCCTAATATAGCCAGCGTGCTTTACCCTGGCTATCCTGTCCATATGGTTTATACTTTATATATTCATACATTTATGTTGGTTGGGTCAGTTTGGATGATATATAAAAATGTGGGGTCTCAAATGCAATATTTAAACTAGTTGGAAATTGCATAATAGAATAGAATCGAATAGAATAGAATCGAATAGAATAGAATAGAATAGAATAGAATAGAATAGAATAGAATAGAATAGAATAATTTGCATTGATCCCCCATTTGGGGAAATTTACATGCCATAGCAGCATCCAAAAATATAGAAAAGAAGGTACAAGGAAATAACTAAGTAATAAAATAAGTATATACATAAAATGACAAAAAATATACTATTGAATGTAAAAAAATTTAAAAAAATACAATATTTACACTTGAAAAGAAACAGACTGTGCATATTTGCCGTTCAAAAATGAATTGTAAACAGGTGCTAATGTTGTCTGTTTGTTATACAGTCTTATTGCAGTTGGGAGGAATGACCTGCGGTGGCGCTCCTTCATGTCGGGTGGATGTCTCAGTCTGCAGCTACTTAAAGCCCCCACGGTCTCCTGCAGCGGGTGAGAGGGGTTGTCCATGACCAATGTGAACATCCTCCTCTCACCCACCTCCTCTGTGAGGTCCAGGGAGCAGTCCAGGACAGAACCGGCCCTCCTGACCAGTCTGTTCAGTCCCTTTCTGTCCCTGTCTGTGCTCCCTCCTCCCCAGCAGATTATCAATAATATTGTATGGTCTCAATATTTAGGCTAGTCACCTTAACTTGCACTGTTTGGATCATTCCATCTCAAATCACCAAATGTTTAGAATATTTTCTGCTTTTATTTGCCTGAAATGTTTATAGCATAAAATCTAGATATCTATAAAGATATGTGTGAACTTTTAGCTTGATATATCAAGTACTTTCTGAGACATTATTTTTAAAAACTGCCCTCCCACCTACTTTCAGCATTAAAAAAAAAAAAAAAGAAGCTGTTTGGATGACAGTATTTTAGGAACTATTAAAGACAAAAGCATAAAATTATCACTGTTATTTCTCATCATGCCATTAATTAAGAATCTGCAATATTCGACAAATAGATCAGATATTCTCTTTATTATGGGTGAGTTGAACTATTAAATTATGTCTGATGTCACCCTTATTTCCTTATGAGACTTGACACAAACCTACATGACAAGTCTCTCTGAAACCAAGGTTTATATCTACAAACTGCAGTCTGATGATGAAATGAAGTCCATTAAAAAAACAAAAAAACGGTATATTTTGAACCACTTTGAAACTCCAGAACTCCAGCTATCTGACCATATTTTCTTATTTTTGCAGAACAACTTGTCATAGCTGCCTGATCTGTTATTAAAGTGAAATGAAAACAACTTTCCTTGCATTTTTGTGACCAAGTACTTCATACTAAAAAGTATTCTTCATGTTTTGTTTGGTGTTACTGTGACGTGCTGCTACGAACGGTTCAGAAAATATCATTTCTTTGAGCTCAAAAATTCAATTTTTACTTCAACTCAACCATAATCAGAAACTATTTAATCTACTTGTCCAATAATGCAGATTCTGAGTCATGGTGGGAAATAACTGTGCAAATGTCAGGCGTTTATCTATAATAGTTCCTGTAGATATTGCTAAATTAGTTTGGTCCATTTGAATTAAATGAAATCTTATGGAGCCATAACATTGGCAATAGTCTGATTAATTTGTATCATATATAATGCTCTAGGGTCTTAATATTCAAAGTAGTCAGGTAAATTAATAACAGCAATGTTATTTATTTCCTGGAAAGCACTTCAGCTCAACATCTGCTGTTTTAAAAGAAGTGTCACAAATAACTCGATCAAATTACAGAATTACTTAAGTAAATATACTTAATTACTTTCCTCCACTGCACACTACAGTCTGGTTATAAATCATTTAGAGGTTTTTTGTTTCACTTTTTGAACGTTTCATGCATTTCTTTGTTTTTACTCCCCCCCTCCTCTTCCTCCTCCTCCTCCCTCCCGGTTTCTGTCCGCCTCGCGTGACGTCACGGCTCACCTGTGGGTGGGAGCATATCTGGGATTAGCTGTAGCCGCAGGTAATAGCCAAACACTGGGAGACTCGGCAACGCAACACTGTCAACTTTAACGAAACAAAGACGACACGAACGAGGAGAGTCGAGGCGCAGGACCCCACGTTTGGTCGGTTTGCAGAAGTTAGTGGCTGAGTGGACGTAAAACAAAATCACCTGAGCGCCCGAAACCCGCCTTTCTTTCTTTCTCTGCTTTGAAGCGTTCAGCTCGAAGTTTTCTCCCCGAGACTTCCGCGGTTTGCTCGCCGAGCAAGTTATCCGGGATAAAAACTCAACCACAACTGTTTCCTCTTATGCGGTAAGTGGGACTTTTTATTTTCTTGCACGTTACATTAAAAACGGTGAAAAGTTGAATGAAGTTTGGTGGTGGCTGCTCCACTGCGCACCGTGGGCCAAATTTGGGGCGCGACGGACTGGGACAAGTTATTATCAAAGGCAGCAATCAATGCACTCAGTTTTATTTACATTCCCAGAATTTCAGGGAGGCTTATTTTACCCGAAGTGTGAATGCAGGTTGTGTGAAATGGTGCGTTTACTGCTGCAAGACTGAGTGGGAACAGATTTACATCAAGGTGTTATTTCTAAACATGCCTCTCCCCTCCCCTACAACAGGTCCCAGGCGTTCTGAGCCATGCCTGGCCACAGCACAGGGGCTCCCCAGGCGTCCCGCCACCACAAGCACCACGGCTCCAGCTCCAGAGCGGACAAGTACCGGCCAACCCGGACCATATCCAGGGAGAGCACGACCAGCCAGGATTCCTTCAAGGACCCTCATGGGGAGCATCTCCGTGAGCACCACACCGACCACTCCCGCTATTCAGAGAACAAGTATGGTCGAGGCAGGGCCCACCCACGGAACGGCAGGGGCTCAGAGACTATAGGATTTATCCCAGGGTCTGCAGACAACACTCCAGCCAGCAGACACGCCTGTGGCTCCTGCGCCTCCATGGGCTGGAGCGGCTGCAAGGCCCTCATCTGCTGCGTACTCACCTGTGGATTTTATGGCAGCCGAGAGCCCTGCCTGCCTGTAAACGAAAGCTCCACAGATCATCCCCCCAAAGCGGGCGGCGAGCCTCACCCTCCCAACGGCATGGCTATGCTCAATCCCACCTGCGGCATCTCCTCGGAGCCCAGCAAGCCCACCAAAGCCTCCAGGTTGCCCACCAGCGACAGCTTCCGCTACCCGGACGTGCGCATCGGAGGTCAGACGGTGAGGTACCCGGTGGCTGCCTCCAAACGGACCCGCACGCCCGGCAAAGGGGAGAGCCAGCGGCCGGTGAGCAACACCAGCCTGTTGTCCCGCGACGACTACGACCTGGACGACCTGAGCGACACGGGCACGGACATTGACTCGCTCATCACCAAGAAGCTGCTGGAGCTGTATGCCTTGCACCAGATCGACCAGCTGGCCAAGTGCACCTCGGACTCGTCGTTCTCCCGCAAGACCAACGAGATCAGCGAGCTCATCTACAACATCGCTCAGGACTACAACCTGGAGGAGCAGGAAGCCGAGTGCAAGCTGGTGCACGGCGTCATCCGCATCAGCACCCGCAAGGGCAAGAGAAACAAGAGCCACCAGTCGACGGGGCAGCGGCCCAACGGCAGGAACGACGGGACGCTGCCCGACAGCGGCAACGAGACCATGACCCCCACCTTGTTTAGCAGCGAGTGTAAGACTGATGCTTTCTTCTACATATTTCTAAAACTGTCACTTCCACCTGACTGCAACATACCAAATATACCAATCATCTGTTCCCTCAGTGACTCATAATGTCTGTTGGAACGCTGCTGGAGCTCTTTTGTTTGTAAGCCTTAATATGCCAGGCATTTTACAGGCAATGGCCTAATAACAATCGGTTAATCTGGGGCAAGTTCAAACAGGCGCACGGCGTCTGGTGACCAGGTTGATTGTAAAACGCTCGTTTAAGGTGCCTGATTTTGTTGTTGTTGTCTCCTGCTGCAGTTCCAGACGTGCAAGTGTCGGAGCAGACGCAGTCGGATGAGCTGGCCAGGAAAATGAGGCACTACAGCGAGAGAAGTGAGTGCGGCACAGACCCCCTTTTGTGTGGACGGAGGCATTAAAATGCATTAGATATCATGATATTAGGTTTAATTACTGCCCTGCTGTGTGAATCAGTGGCTCCGGCTTTGTGCTGCTGCAGCTGTAGGCATTTTCTCACCTCCTCTTCTACTTTCCAGCAGCCTACCACCTTTTTAAACAAGTGAAAGCCCCACATTCCTGCCCTTTTCTCTGCATATTACAATCCCTCGCTCATTACAGGGCCTCCTCCCCACTTCTGCCACCCAACACCGTCAGACCCCCCCCCGGCTCAGTGGTCATGCAACACCACCTGCCAGATCAAGTCACATTAAATATACGCCACACAGCCTGATTTATTATGTCATTTTAGGGAACAACTTGGGTTACAGGTGGATTACAGTGCGGCAGCAGCAGGCTCTTTTTTTCTTGTGTTGTCCTGCAAAGAAGCTTCTTAAAAAGGGCCGGGTGTCCTGTTACACGTCTTTGTGTGTCGACAACTTTCACATCATCGCAGCCTGGGAATGTGTTAAACTCTGTGCCTAGTAATACCAGTAATAATGTGCTTTTCTTTGGTTCCTCTTGCAGCGTACTCCTCCAGCACCGCCACGGCGTACTCGGCCTACCATCACGACACCGAAACAGACTCCTCGGGTGCTCCTCTGCTGCTCTGAAGGGCAACACACAAACTATTTAGAGAGGATGTCGTCGAATACGTGGATGCCTTCGTCCTTCTGTTGCCATTTATGCTGTTACTGAGTGGAGCACCTTTTTTTTTAAAAAGTTTTTTTACATGAGGCGGTTGTACTTTTAGAGTGTCTTTAAATGCAAGGACCTTTTTTTTTTTTCTCCCTTTTTTTCTAAATAAATCTTTCTATCAAATGACCCACTGAGGAGATTCTGCTTTCTCGCTGGGTTTTACGTTTTATAGGAATTTGTACGCAGTGTTTAAAAGTTGTTTTCAGAAAATGGAAAAACTCAATACAGTATCGGCAGAAGCCGGGAGGCCACAGAATAGAGACTGATGGTAGAAACGCAACCGTCCTCATTCTTGTCCTTGTTCTTGTTTATGCAAGCCATTGTGTATGTGTGTGTGTGTGTGTGTGTGTGTGTGTGTTTGTGTGTGTTTTTGAGCTTACTGACTCCTGCCATTTCTTCACACTTCCGTGATGCATGTTTTGACATGAAAACCGTATTTGTTAAGCCATATGTTGATGTAAATATTCTCAAGTTGATGTTTGTTCTTTTGTTGGAACATTTGTGGCTTTTTTTTAAATTTTAATTATTATTAGCCGGTCTTATTTTTAACAAAATAAAAGTCTTTATGCTTGTTTATGCCTTTTTTTTTATTTGCATTCAACAGAGAAATGTGAATTCTCACCTCATGATTGCACTGCTTTTCTATCAGCCTTTACACTCTCCGTCCACATCAGCCAAAAACGTTGTTTTCATTAAGTCTGAATTAAGCGACTTAATTTGTTTTACAGCAAATTATTCGTCCTCGTACATCAACAGGTTCTTTCCTTCACAAGGGTTTCTGGCTGTGTCTCTTTAGCCTACTTTTCCTCTTTATCTCTCAGGATTATTGTTGTCAAGCTCATCTCCCTGAGGTCACTGCGATGTGGCAGGCAGGCTTTTTCCGCCCTCAGCAAAAGAAGGAACCCGTTTGGCTGGTTCTGACAAAAAGGAAATAAAATCCGGGGTTTGTCTTTCTTTGTCATTTATTGGAAAGGCGGAGAAGCAGTGCAGAAAATCAGACCGATTTCAGGAACCTGTCGTTGATTCCGGCACTGGGTCAAACAAATTGAACTACATTTGCAGGTAATGTATATTTTAAGAGCCTTTACTTTGCAGGTTTGTGGCTGCAGCTGCCAACAGAAATGTAATTATAGACCAATGCGCACTGAAGAAAAGTTACTAATATGTTTAGGAATTCAATTAACAGCTGGCCTGCTGACATACTTTTATCTTCTGTGACTAAAAATGTGAGTTTTTTGTGTTCAACTTGGCTTGAAACTGAAAAAAAAACAGCAGCGCTTGGATCAAGAAAACAACGCGAGTGATTTGATTTCTATAAAAAAACAAATGGAAAGATCTCACTGCTCGGTCTGATCATGTAGAAAAAATAACAATCCCCTTTCAGCAAAGCCTTCAAAACAGCAAATCATACGTTTGTTTGTGTTCTTGTGTGGCAAACATCTGCCTTTTTCGACTTGCCTTTTCTGTTTGTGGTGAGTTGCAGTTGCCCTGTGTAACCCCGTTTCCTCTGGCTCTCTGCCCCCACCAGCACATTCCTGTTTTACCTGTATGAGGTGTCATTTAAAAGGCTCACTGTTTCACAACTAACATACCACAGCGTAGGACGAATCAAAAGGACCTGCTCTCTATTAAATGCGGCCTGCAGATTGTCGAGAGCAAATTTTTACACTCGATTTAGCATTCACACATAGTTTTTATGCTTAAATTAGTGCATTAAAAAACATGATAGCTGCTTTCTGTGTGGCTTTTATATTCTTAAATGTTTGCGTATGTGACAAAAATGGCAGTTTAGGTCCAATTTTATTGTATCTGTGAACTGTTGGTCTGACTAAATATGTGACTTCCACAGATTTCCATGAGAGGGAGACAAAGTTCCACTGAATACAACACTACATAGTACCGTACAGCTTCAACATTTGTAGCCATAATAGAAAGCCGGGTTTCTTTCTTCGTAGTATTTAACTGTTTAATTCTGTATTAATGTGACATGATACAACTTTTATATGATAATAAAGTCTTCAATCTGGGAAATGCTCACCAATGTCATCCAGTATGATGCTTAGAAATTAACATTTAACCATTTCAGTATTAGATGATTATTATTTGTCGCATATACGCAACAGCAGAGCAGTTCAATTTTACTATAATATGGGTTAGGAGTATTGCTCAAGGGACCAACAGAAGCAGGTTGGTGGTGCTGAGAGTAGAATCTCCAACCATCTCAACCATTGAGCCACTATTTATCTGATAAATATGCCAATAATATACAATTTTAAATATGGTCAGGTTTAGAAAAACGTATTCAGATACTTTATTAAAGTAAAAGTACTCCTTTGCAAGAGAGGTCCTGCATGAAAAATCCAACTTATGTAAAAGTGCACGGGCATTAACAGCAAAATCTCGTGAAAGTATTAAACTAAAAGTACTGGTTTGTTTCCTATTCAGTGGTATATTATGATGTTATGTTGCTATTAGTAATGCATCAGTGTGTCAGCAGCATGCTACAGTTGCAGCTGCTGCAGGTGGAGCCACTTAAACAACTTAATACCCAGTCTTATATACAGAGACAGCGGATAAGGGCTCCACATATGATACGTGGGAGAGGAAAGAAGAAAAAACGATGTTTGATATACAGATCTGCTCTTAGGTTTCACATTTTTGGACTCTGATTTTAATTTTTGCTCAGATATTTGATCATTTACTATAAAATTAAACCACGTGAGCAAGTTTAGAGGGAAACATGGCTGTCTGGTGGAGCTGTTAACTACTCAGGCATCTGAAATGCAACCCCCACTGCTTTTTGTAAGGCGTCGGAAGTTGGGGTTTTTCCCAAATAGAGGAATTCTTGGCGCCCTTCACAGAGCTCTTAGCCAGAGGCAAAGGAAAATCACCGGCGCCAAAATAATTCAAACTGACAATGAACCAGTTTTGGTAATTGAGATTTCATTAACTTGAGCATGATAGCCATTATTGTTTATAAAACGGTCAGAAATAACAGGAAAATACACAGATTTCTATCAAATGAGATAAAGCAGACTCATCGTCTTCACTGTGAGCGGACGGATTGTGCTTCCTGTCACACCCTGAAAAGCACATTCTGAGCCGGGAAAAACCCTGGAAGCCAAAAAGGTTAGAAACCGATGCTTCAGCTTTTATATTTTAGAAGTAATATTGCGTACTGTGCAAAATCTCCATCCTAAATATAACTAAAGCAGCAAGTTGAAAAAAAATGTAGACAGTACAGTATTTACCTCTGAAATGTAACGTAGTGGAAAGATACAGTCGCATAAACTGGAAATACCAATGAAAGTACCTCAAAGTTGTATCCAAGTACAGTACTTGAGTAAATGTACTTTCCAGGATGACAGACTTGGTGCTTACTGGTTAATTTCTAGAACTGAGTTGCCTCAAAGTTGGAGAAAAAGTGCTTAAATACCTTCAGAGTGTGTTTTTTTGCTACAAAACTACATTTTTAAACATGAACCACGATATATTTATGGCTGTATCATATATAAAAAGTATTTTAAATCACCCTTGGACACATTTTCAAGGCCTTGGAAATTCCAGCATCAGCAAGAATTTTATAAATACACACTTGAGCAATACTTGGCTGCATGACAAGTCAGTGATGATGGATCTGCCAAATGAAGTGAAGCCTGAAGATGTTCAGAGCAGACTGTCGTCAGGTACGGCCTCGGACATAAAACAAACAAACAGTGCGTCGGATTTAAGTTGCTGTGAGTAAAAGTACGAGACAAAACTTCACTGTTAAGTTCACGTACAAAAATATATTTATTTGAAATCTTCTGTAAATGCAGACAACAGTTATGACAACGACACAAACAGTAAGGATCAAGTATTTTGACAGTCAAATCTTTCCACTTGAGTGGATTTCAGACTGGGTTAAAGTGACCTCAGCTTCAGTGGAAATGCGAGCAATTTCATAATCTCGTGTTCATCACTTCACAGTTTCATGCAGGCGACTCTAAGTGCTTTTTAGAGCAGCAGCCTGCTGTTAGTAAGAGTTCAAACGCAGCACTCTCCGTTTTCTCCACCCAGTCCAACCTCTTCTATCTGCAGAAGAGCATGTCGACCAGCAGCTCCAGCAGGTCCGCCTGTCCTATGACGGGCCGGAAGAAGAGCTCAGTGATCAGGCTGGGCGTGATGCTCTGCAGCATGGAGGCTGTGAGGAGGATCCGAGCGAAGCGATCTTGGTCCCCCGGGTGGAGGGGCTGGACCACCTCACTCAGGGCGTGCTGGGCCTCCTGCTGCAGGCCTTCAACAAACAGGGCAGCCTTTAAACCTGGAACATCTGTTGATGGCAAAAAAGTAGGAAAAGTAGGGTTACATGCTTGTCAACTTTAAATCATTTCTTTAATTATGAAGCTAATTGTTAATGATACACACCTGGGTTGAATATCGTGGTCCCTTTGAGGTATGCGTACTCCTTTGGGCTCAAATCCAAACTCCAAAACTTTTTGAGGCAACCCTTGATTTTGCTGACGCCGGCCATGGTGGGCTGCTCGCGCCCCATCTCGGGACTCTCCTGTCGGTTCAGGAGAATCTTCTTCAGCATGCTGTCGGCGGGGACGTCTGTCACCTCGAAGTCCACATGCTCCTGAGCCAGACCCAGAATGAAAAGCGGCGCCCAGCAGCTCCTGAGTAGAGTGAACTGGTCGTTGGGCGGCAGCTGGTTAAAGGCAGGTAGGTTCTTCATGAAATGGAGGGTTTTAACCAGAACCGCCGAGGCTTCTTTGCAAATCTCAGAGGGCATTTTCAAGCACACAGTCCGTCGCACCTCACAGTTACATCTGTGAGGTGCTGAGATGTAGTCTTGGCTCGATTTGCTGCTGTCCATCCGGCTGAGGATGTTGTAGAGGATTGGGTTGGAAAGCCTGTCGCAGCTGCTCGAGCAACGACATCCGTTATCCATTTTATTTGACTTGGAGATGTGGTTCAACAGTCGATGTATGTGTCCTCTCACAGGATGGGCTCTTTATGAGCTTGTGCTGCCTCTTACCTCCAGCCTCCCTGTATTTATAAGGCCAACCCACCCAGCTCAGTGGACCTTGACTTGTCAATACGCTCCCTGTGAAAAACAACCGTGTGCTCTGCCAGGTGACTGATGGAACAACCCTGGGAATCCGATAAGCTTTTCTCAATGAAAACGAGCTGGTGGAGTAAGGCCTGGGTATCAGGAGGGTTGGGCCTTATCTCGTAGCCAGTGTCGTTAACCCAGGCAGTACCAAGCTACCAAGGACTGCAGAGGTAATCAGCCCCACCGTGGCCCTGCACTCTGCCAGCTCACACCTGTAGAGCTGGAAGGAGGCCAACGCAAAAGGAAGGGCATTGACCTAGAAGTTGAGTCCTCATTTGGTTTCGTTGTTTTTAAATCAATACATCTAATCCTGGAACAGTAGGGGATTTTTGAAAGTCTAATTTGGTGGAAATTGGTTGCATAATATTTTACAGAATATTTTTATTGATATTGACGAAATCAACCAATGTGGCTTTCCCAACAGCTGCACACATCTGTAGCAACAATTA